CTCTCTCTCTCTCTCTCTCTCTCTCTCTCTCTCTCTCTCTCTCTCTCTCTCTCGGAAGAGGGTGAGTGGAACACGCGCACAACAACGAGGAAATTTTATTAAATAATTCCTTCGAATTTAGAACAGAGTTTGTTAGAGTGCGCTTTAATCGTTAATTAACTAAAATGATTTAGCAACTAATGATTAAGCTTTTTCGTTGACAAACTTCGTGAGTTGAAAGCCGCAAGTTACAATTATTGTAAAATCGCAGCGGAACGTTGAATGTTGCATTCAATTTGGGAAGTTTTCCTCATAGTCGCTACGCCTGCAATCGCTGTGCGACCCCCAGACGCGTGTTTCCATCTCGCAGATTTACATAAGTGACTTATGGTCAGCGAGTATTACCCTCGTGGCAGAGACAGGGTCGTTCAGTCGTATCTTTGACGCGACGTTCGCGCGGGAATTCAAATGAGGGACGGTCGTTACGAGACTCCCGGTGTGGAATATCACACGAAGGTGTCCGGTTTCGTTATATTCGCGGACATATTTGCACGCAAAAAAAAATAACCGGAGCGATACGATACCTCAGTTGTTCTTCAATTTCTGATAATTTTTCGTCCTATTATAAACAACAACAACAACAACAAAATGCGCGAGAATATTATAAGCAATTATATCGCGTCTTTTTCGTCCTTTCATCCCTTTGCCTTCCCGTATCAGTGACACATCTCGCGTGATTTCTAATAAAATCCAATTTGATCGAAAATAGCGATTAGAAATTCACTCAGTCCCGTTATTGTCGGCGGAATATCGTTAGTCGCGCGCGATAACGATCAAATATTTTACACAAAATCATCCGACAATATCACTTTCCTAATAGATAGGTTGCGGTTTTCGATTAGCCAACGCGAAATTGTATTTCATTTAATGAAGAAAACTCATTTTCTCGCATTAAACACCAAAAACATCATCCGTGCTCGTCACACCGCTGGCTTCGGCGAGAGTCATTTTGCCCCTCCCCCCCCCCTTTGTGCGTATATCTCGCCGTTTGTAAATTATATTAATCCCGCGCAGATAACGTTCCCAAGCCTCGCGTTTGCGTTCAATATTAAATAACGCCGTATCAGCGAAATTTTTGCGACGGTGTACGAATGTGTGCGCGCGCGCGCGATTCGATCGCAGATTCAATTTGAAGATTACGAATCGCCTGCTACGCAACGCGACGATGTATATATGTACATGCTTATATACTACGTGTATGCGATATTACATTCACGCACAACGCCGATTTTTCATGTATAATTAGCCGTCACATCGCTAACGAGCACGTGATCTCACTCGAAATGGAGATTCATCGTGCGCGTCACGACTCGTCCGCCACGGGGAATAAGCGAATTTTTCATACACGTGTATACACACGGGGTGTCTCAGATTTCCCGCATTTTGTTGTCGCCTATACAGCCTCGTCGTAATCGATCTTTCTCCGATGAACGGAATCGACACGTTCTCTTTGCATGCATTTTCGAGAACGGAAAGATGGATTCTAATTTTCGCTCGGGGAATTCGTGCGCGAGAAGAAGAAGCGAGAAACGAACGTCCGCGTACACACACTCTGTACATCGCGAAGAGACCGGTATGAATAATCGTTAATTAATTCCGGGCACGACGCGAGAGCGAAACGACCCGCGCCAGACGAAAAAGCCACGTCCCTCGCCTTATATTTCCAATTTTTCACGCGCGTACGTACACGGGGCATAATAAATACTCGGCAGCGGTTACCTTTTGGTGACGCGAAGTGCACGACAGCGATAGAAAAACAGAAAGAGAGAGAGAGAGAGCATATTTTTTTTCCTCCTACCCGAGAATCGAGGAGACGTTTTATCTGGCGTTGCGAAACGTGGAAACGGCTGCTCTCTCTCTATCATGAGCGATACGTTTTATCAGATAAAGTCGCGCTATCGGTCTCTTTCAGATAAGGGAAAACGGTGACAGGTCGACGATGACACACGGTGCCCGTACTTTCGTAGGTGTACGTGTCGCTCGACAGCTATTTTTTTTCGCTCCCCCGTCGTGGGTGTAATTCTTGCTTCGAGTGGAGAGAACAAATAAAGAGGGAGTAAGTACCATTGTCATCACATCAATTACAATTTAACAATTTCTGTTAAACAAAAAAAAATCCCCCGGAGTATCGAATGAACGTCACTTCTCGAAGTAGCTTATATGAAGTTACCAGATCTCGTCGGGATCGACGGAGATTTCTTTCTACTTTGTATAATACATCTCGTATCTTAATTATTATTTTAATCTTACGTAATTGTTGCGTATTTTCACCGCACGTATCTTCGATACGTAATAATACGTGTGTGCGAACGTCAGTCCAAATAACGAAAAGTCAAAGCCAGCGATGTTGTTTTCGTCGCTTATCAGCTCTGATTGTCACCAGTGCAAACTCCAAGATCAAACACCTGATCAAATAATCGTCGCGCTCGCGTTCTATCAACGAACACTCGCATTCGTTCCAATTCTATATTTTCGTCTCTTCGATCGCGACCCTCTTTCGTCTCTTAAATCCTCCATTACTCTATATTGAGAATTGCACATAAATCTTCATAGTAAAGGAGCAACTTTTTTTTCGTCTACAAACTAGAAAGAGAGAGACGAGAGACGAGAGAGAGAGAGAGAGAGAGAGAGAGAGCGAGCACCAAAGTAATTTCTCTTCATCTCTGCAAGAGCGAAGCAAACGAGCGCGGACTCTCGCTCTTGTAGCACTCTCTGTCGAAAAGATTCGTCTCAATCTCGGGATCCGAGAGAGATCGGCAGAAGAGGAAGAACATCCCTAAAGGAACCCGGCACTAAATAAACCGATGCTTGCCGATAGGTCATGAACACGCTGTATCCGAATCTTTACGAGCGATTCAGGACCGAGGGTCTCTGTCCCATTTGCCTCATGGAGATGGAGCTCACGCCCAGGTACTCGTGCGTCAACAGACACACCGTGTGCCATCGCTGCAAGCCCTATTACTACGGCTGTCCCACGTGCATGGCACCGTTGGACATTGAGATTCTGCCGCCACACGCGGATGCGCCGCAGCCGACGCACTACATGCCGCATCCCACCGCACCGCCAATGAACGACTTTCTGAGTCACGAAAGAGCGGCGTCCTGGGAGCCGTCCGTGCCGTCGCAGCACTACCAGCAGATCGAACCGTGCCGATACTCTCATCTGGGATGCTGGGTGAAGGTGCCGGAACATTTGCGAGCGCTTCATGAGTCGAGGTAGAAATGCGAGAGAGAACTTGTTTGTTAATTACTACTGTCACTTTATTTGTCAATTGTAGAAAATTTGAATATAAAAAGATTTTTCTTTTATAATGGGGGAAAAAAAACAGAGCCCGTAAGAACATACACATTATGTTTTTCGACTACAAATTTTATTAAAAATTTTTTATTAACTTCATATTCGAAAGAAAAATAATTTGAAAATGACGATTTACAGATGCCAGTTTCGGCCGCATCTCGAGGAGGAGCAGATGCCGACCGATCTACAACACGGTCACGACGATTTGGTGGAGTGCTCGTATTCCACGGTAGGCTGTAAGGTACGAATGGCACCGTGGAGACGCGACATTCACGAGAAATTCTGCAACTACAGAAACGACTTCCGTGTGAGCGAGATCAGCGACGGTCTCGCGTCCGCAACGATCGACGATAACGATTACGGCGGCGACCCCGAGGAACTGGTGCAATGCAAGTACCGCCGTTACGGCTGCATGGTAAACATGCCGAGGAGACGGAAATACACTCACGAGCAGAAATGTAACTACAGAAGCCAGTACGTAGACGCGGACGATGAATTCTTCAGTTATAACGCGGCAACGCCGTCGCCGCCACCGGAGTCGCAATTGGATCCCGAGGAGCAAGTAGAATGTAGATGGTTCGCGTACGGGTGCCGGGTGAAACCGAAACGCTTCCGCAAGCAAATTCACGAGGATAAATGTAATTACAGGATGGAGGAATGCGCGTACAAGGATTACGGATGTGGCGCAACGTTCACGCCGTCCAGAAGATACGCGCACGAGAGCAGATGCGAGTTCGCCAATTAGGTTCTCGCGATTAAGTGTAAAACAACCTCGCTTGTATAAAAAAAAAAAAAAACAAAACAAAACGCAAATTCGCTGAAAAAAACTTCACCAAAAAAGAGGGTTTTAATAGGGTTTTTTGTTTTGAGAAGATATTTTGCACAACGTATCTCCGATAGACTTACGTACCACAAATCGTCTTAACGGTTCGTAAGAACCGTGTAATTGTTCGCGCGGGGATATATACCATCAAGGAAAGTACGTTTCTTCAGCAACAAACGAGTAAACTAAACAAACGAGCGCCGGTAGATCGGAGCGAAGAGATCCGACAATTCCATTAATCGCGAGAGCCGCGAGTTTCGTACCGGGATAGCAACAATTAACCGGCAACAAAGCGATCTACCATGATGCTTCGTCGGGAAGCGATTTTACAAAACCCATTAACTGCGATTTTCCAAGAACCCATGGAATGATGCGGAAGAGGATTATTTACTCGCTCTCTCTCTCTCCGCCACATCAGCCGGTTTTCCCGGAGATAGTGAGAGACTCGCGCCTGTCGTTCGAGGGATCATCTTGAGCATGATCGTCTGGAATGAGGGAGTGATGGGGTGGCTGGGATATCCAACACCTGCAGGCTAATGGTGGCCCTCTCCCTGGTGCGCCCGCGATCGTTCGGCGAAACGACACCTACACGCTTACGGCTTCCCATTTGTAACGTCGGCGCGTGCGGAGAACGGGAACCGGGAGTTCGATGCGCGATTATACGGGAACGGTATCCCGTACACCTCGAAACGGTTCGGTCTCAAAGTCAATAAAACACGTCACGTATCAAACGTGGTTTGCGCAAGAATTTGGGAGTTTCATTAATTATACACATTATACACACATATATGTATATATATGTAAGAGAATTGTATATGTGTAATTGTGTACTTACATTTCTGATATGTTTGATTCTATATAATAAATAAAGAGCTGTATAATAAATAATCAAAAAATAAATAAATATCTATGACAAAAACCATTTTCTGTCGAAAAAAATACTCCGAATCATTTGTGAAGGCAAATCATCTTATTTTCTCTTTGTCGCGCTCATGTAAATAATTGACATCTTCGAAATTAAGTACAGTTTATTCAATCTGCTGATGTGCGAGCAAAGTCAGCGAAGGTCGGACGCTCGCAAATAAAGGGCGTTTCAAACGAAGGTTGGGAAATCTGCTTCTTGCGCCATGAAAATCTGAGACACTCCCACGGGTGCGTGTCGACATATATCTACTTTAGTCCCTACTAAATAAATATCGTGGGTGGATCGTGCGCGCGTCGTGGAAAGTTTATTCACCCGTGACGCGAACAATCCGTCATCCCGGCCGGTCAGAACTTTAACGTTCGACGAGACGGACAAAAGGGAGACTGTTTTACATAGCAACGCCCAAGAAAGACTTCTGACCAGGACGAATTCAAAGAGAGAATTCCGCGTCGCGGTCAAGTTCGAGAGGCACAAAGAGAAAAATATCATTCCTTCTCGCGTATTATATCCGGGAAACAATCGAAATTACTTTTATTCAAGGCAACGCGCGTCACCCCTCGATTGCTTTACCCTTTTTAGCAATCTCCAATTACGTTTCGGACTGTGCTCGCTGATTTTTAATTAACCAATTCACAAAGAGATTGGCGCGCATCTTAAAGGAGATGTTCCACTCCGATTGATTTTAATTTCAAACATACGCGCCGCTATTTGATTGATGAATATCAATTTCCCTCGCGATTTGCATATTGTAAATGAGACATTATACACGCGGCGGTCTCTTTTGTATTTTGTCTCGCAAACACAATACGCAGTATCTCATCTTTTTGTTTACAACAGATGACACTATGACAGAATATCAATAAAGTTACATTAAATGTGATTCAAATAACAGCAGATTCGCGTTTTCTTGTTCCGTAAAATCAGAAAAAAAAAAAAAAAAAAAACATGACGTCGCATTAAATATGCGAACCTGTTATTTCTATGTAAAATAGCATCGTGTCGTGAGGGAAAGTTGACAACGGATGAGGGAGGAGGGGAGCGATAATCAGGCGGAGACCTTAATAGCTTTTTTTTTTCATTAAGACTTTTCTTGCATAAATTAATAAACCGATCGACATTAGACGATGAGTAGAAGATAACACGATGGTTCTCTCGTTGTGTTTAAAAAGCTCGTTGGTAAGCGGAATGAATACAGACGCGAGTGTTAAAACCGCGCCCGATGGTGGGGTTGAGAACGAAGGTACGGAGGAGAGATAGAAGATGCGAGTAAATTGCACCCCTGGGGACAAGACTGACGAGTGGCGCGAAGGACGCAACAAGCCAGAAGTCAGCCAACTTTAATTAAGACAGCGTTGCAGGCTAGATGTAGACACGAGACTTTGTATAAGAAACTCGGACTCGTTTCAACTTCTTTGTTCCATGTGCCGAAGACGCGCGCGCGTTGGTACAGGCATTAGATGTGAAACGACACGAACGTACAAAAAACCACATCGTGCGACATATGTGTATCGAAGATTCGATAAAATCAACCCTTTTAGTAAGAAACACGTCGAAAACAAAATGTATTTGTGTCGTGTTGCTTTTTACGTTCGATATAAAATATTTATATTTTGTGTTTCGTGAAAAAAAAGTCGATCAAAACTTTGAAGATAAAATAACAAAAAAAAAAAAAAAAACAATATCTCTTGATATATACGAAGAATACGGCAATCTAACGATTTCGTGACCAGAAGCGTCTTGATTTAGCGCGTTCGCGGTCGTTGATCATCGACCGTTCAGCGTGTGCGCTCATAAAACGTACCAGTTCGATAGCGGACTGGGAGGTGTGGTAGCAGGGTCGTGGATTTTCCCACGTAAATACCATGACCACCAAAAATGATGGCGTTTTGCCGTTTTCTCGGCGGCCAATATACCGCGCGCTGCACGCGAACGTCATAATTCACGTTAGCAGCTCGCAGCTTGGAGAGCAAAAGCAGCTCACCGATCGTATCAACTCAATTTCGTCAGGATAATATAATTATTATCCGGAAACGCGTCGATGTAACGAACAAATCCGCGTGACCGTTTCTGATCGGAGCGTCTGATCGCGCGGCACGTACGCGATTATCGTCAAATAGGACACTGGGGTTCGAGAGGATCGCGATCGGGAGAGATAAAGATTTACGACGGACAAACATTCGTCATCGAGACAGGAAATCCGGCCTTGCTGCAGCATCGAAACACCCGCATGCTGTATCCGGGAGATGCAATTCGCGTCGGTTGATGCCGTTCGTTAAGGCAATGTTAGCATTTGACAGTTGACACCGAGAACGATAAAGGCTCACGTCAAGCGGTTTTCAGGTCAACACGATATATTGCGCGTACCTTATCGGGATTACGGTGTAACGCGTTATCTTTCGGTCGCGTGTTCCTTCGTAATGCGATTTAGAAAGTTTATCAAGAGGAAGAATTTGATTTTATATTTAGTTGTTATTACTGTTTGCACATAACAAAAAATTCAGATAATTGCCATCATAAATCTTGCAACTTTTCCGCATCGGCGCATCAGTCACGGAAAAAACTTTCCGAACACGCTCAGTTCGACCGATAATTAACGCTAGAAAATATCTCGTTTCGGGGCGCACGTTTCCGAGAACAAATGATTTTTTGGCGCAAACTTCTGCTTCGCGCGCGCGCGCGCGCGAGATTAAAATTCTTAGTACAACCCTTTTAAACTGAGAAGAGGGTGATTGAGGCAGTGCATTCACGACACCAACGGAGAAAACCGAAGAAGAGGTACGTCTCGAGGAAAAAGCGAATTTAATGAAACGAGAAAAACCCCAGTGAAGGTGTATTTGTAATGCAAATACTTCGGACCGGAGCGACGCTCCCCGAAGGGAAACGAAAAATGAAAGGCTTCGAAACACAGAGGCGGGAGAACGAAATCGAGCGTCCCATCGTTCTCGCTAATCCGATTCCGAATTCTTCGCCGTCCGTTCGCTCACTCGAAATCACGTTCCCAACGGCGGTATGCAGTCTTGAAAAAAATCCTATCCCGTTCCTTTCCTTAATTACTCCTGGGATTCGGAGAAACAGCGACGTTCCGAATGTTAATTGCCGCAAAAATCTCGACTCTAACATCGTCAAATAACTTTTACGTTTTTTTTTTTTTTTCCAAATGTGATTTTTCAATTTCCTCGCGCGCACACACTTACGACGTTATTTTTTTACGCCGTGTTTTTGACGCTCAATATTTCGATGTGGGATTCAATTCGCGAGAATGGAAGAATGACGGGTCGGTGTCGAGAGGATCGAAGAAATCATTATTTACCAAAAGTCGTCTATTGTCCGCCTTTCAACAGACGCGCATTGTCGAATTAAGAGCTTTTGTCACGAAGAATACCAGAAAGGCAGAGCAACGCTCGCTTCTCTCTCTCTCTCTCTCTTTCTGTCTCTGTTTGTCCTGACAGTTCGCTCTTCTTCTCTTTATCTCTATGGTTTTAACGCGTTCCTCCACCCTGTCCGTGTCGGGCCGACAGTCGCCTCGCAAATGAAAGCACTTTTCCGCCGAATAGACAAAATAAATCGAGTCGCGCATGACAATGCCGATAATTTCGCAACAATACGCACCCGCTCAGCCGTAGAGAGACGTACGCACGAGCAAACACGCGCTCGCTGCAGGAAACGCGCGCGAAAAACGAATGGGTTCGAGTTAGGGTTGCGCGCGTCTGTGTCGCGCGTTTCTTTATCCAAACATCGAGCGACTGGGAACGCTCTCGGGAATGAATCAACGCGAGATAATGCGTCTTTTTACCGGCAACTAGCGTATTTTCTAACGAGTCTTCCTCGCGAGAGAGAGAGAGAGAGAGAAGAACTCGCTCTTTAATAGATCGTATTGTATTTGTCTATTTGTACAATCCAGAGAGATACACGAATCGTATCTTAGCGTTATTGTGTCGATTATATTTGTCTCGTGGACAAATCTGGAAAGAATTATTGGTAACGGCAAAGAGAACGGAAGTGCGAACGAGAAATGTTCCATTTGTTTATAACGGCAAAAAGAAAAGCGCTAAC